AATTTTTGATTGGCCTTATAAGGAACCACCGGCTTTCCTAGGAACACTCCCAATATTTTCACTTAAATCGAGGCAATTTCTTTTTTTTTTTCTTGAGTTCCATAAAAATATCCTTACACGACAATTCACAGTAAAAAATATAAGGAAACAATAGGTTATTTAACTAAAAACTTACGTTTTGCTGTGCGCGCGAATAACAATTGTAGCGTCGACGACCGAAGTCTACGAAGTGTGAGATCGCACTGCCACAATAGCGGCGCGAGCGACTCGCAGCCGCGTCTGTAGCCTTCAGTTTGATGGATTGTAGTGTGTAGTAGAAGGAATATGTCTTTACATGTCAATAACTACGACTTTTTAATAGTTGGCCTTCAAAGGAGCGTGGCCTTCCATGGTCCACCCACCTTATATATGTACTCTTTTTATTCCCTCGGATACCACCTACCGGTGGGGTGGCTATGTCGGACTCGAATCGACCAAAAACCGCACGCCGTCTTGGGTACCAGTAGCCGGGAACCAGGTGTACCCTAGAAAGTATATAGGTACCCACCCTACTGATCCTAAAATATTACATAGCAGATTTTTTTTTAAGGTTTACTAGTAATCGAAATAACTAGCATTCCCGCTAAGCTAAATTGCTTGTGTCAGGAGTGGGTTCACGTCGATAGTGTAGTGGTCAGGATTCGAACTAGGCTACCGCCGCTTCATCTACATTTCCTACGTCTACATTTTCTATTGCCTGCATTGATGAGAAATGAAGAATAATAATAATAATAATAAATTTATTTATTTTCAGACATTAGTGCATAGATATGTTAGTAACAGTAATCTTACAACTATGTTAGTTCTACATTAACACAAAAACAAATTAAAAAATAAATCGTGGGGATGCGCTAGCATGCAGACGCATCCACCTTTGTAGGATTGGAAGATCCCACCTCTCGGACAATACTCTCAGGATGCCATTGGTGCTGCTCAGCAGTCGATTGGACATTGACGCGCTCCGCTTCCTTATGATTGCATAAAAGTCATCGCAACGTGCCTCCGCGAACATGTTTGATGCACTGCAAAACCTCGACAGATTCAATAGCATCCTGAAAGCATTGTTGTACTGGACGCGTAGTGCGCTGTACGCCCGCTGCGTAAAGTTAGTCCACAGGCTGCACGTGTAGAAGGACTGACAATATGCTTTGAAAAGAGTAACTTTTACTGGTGTGGTACAACGTGCGAACCTGTGAGCCAACATATTACACCGGACAGACAGCGCCCTACGCTCCCTCTCAATATCAAGGTCATCTGATAAGTCATCGGCGACCCAATGCCCAAGGTACTTAAACTTATAAACTCTCTTTAAAGGAGTTCCGCAAAGAGTGACTGGAGGTACAATTGAGTAGCATTTGGTACCAGCTTTAAAGATCATAAACTCGCTCTTTTTGGCATTATACTTGAGACCATGACTCGCCGCATATGTCTCACAGATATCTATCAACCTACGTAGTGCACCAATCGATGGGCTCAGCAGCACCATGTCATCAGCGTAGCTTATATTATTTATGCACACACCGTCAATAGAACAACCTATGTTTGTGCTACTAAGCTCACTGATCAGCCCATTCATATACAGATTAAAGAGACGAGGCGAGGATATACCACCTTGCCTCACGCCACACTCCAACCTGTACATGTCCGACCGCACATCCGACCATCTTACCCTATTTTTCTATTGACTGTACCAATATTTAAATAGAGATACAATCTCACGTGGTAGATTCGTATCACATTGTAGCTTCTGCCACAGCCTGTCATAATTAACAAGGTCAAAAGCTTTTGAGAGATCTAAATAACAAGCGTATACAGGTTTATTTCTAGCTGTATAGTACTGGACAGTCTGCTTGAGACAGAGAACAGCACTCTCAGTTGATAAACCGGGCCTAAACCCAAACTGTGCGTCATGTAATTGTAGGTGCCGTTCCAACTGCCGGTCAAGCAAACTGTCCAGCACCTTAGCAATAACAGTCGCAAGTGAAATTGGCCTATAATTAGACATATTCGACAAATCGCCAGTCTTATCCTTTACGATAGGCACAACGTCTGTATACATTAAATCGTCTGGCAAAAAGCTATGACTAATACACATGTTAAACAATAATGCAAGCACTCTCGGTAGATGTATGCCCGCATACTGCAAATGCTCGATGCTAAGACTGTCGTGACCTGGGGATTTGCCTCTTACCATATTTTTTATAACTAGGGCTAACCTCCTTAGCGGAAAACCTGATGTTAATATACCCGGGACGACTGTCCGCAGCGAGCATTTGCGACGAGGGTCCGAGAGGTGATGACACACTGAAGTGACGCTGAAAGGCACAAGCTATATCGTGTGGGTCGTGAACACTACCCACACTCACCGGAGAGCTCGACCTAGGGTTCAACTTACTCGTATTTTTCCAAAAATTAACATAGTTTTTATTCGAATGGTGTTTCGCAATAATGTCCATCTTGATTTGAGTTTCATTGTTCTGACAGTGCTTTAATTTAGATTTAAATATTCTTCTAGTTTCAGTCATATTTTTATATATATACCCCGAACTAGGTTTGCCGTAGGTCACCCACGTTTGAAACCAAAATCTCGCTCTCCTGTGTGCATCACTAACATACCTATTCCACCCTATCACATATTTATGTTTCCGTGCAACCCCTTTGCAGCTCAGCTTAGCGGCTTCAGTAAGAATACTGACAATCTCATTATACATTTTAATTAAGAGTATTTTATGTTGCTCATTATTACACACTTTACCAGCGCAGTTAGTAAATTCTGTTGGGCAGTCAATTAATTTTAATTTAGAATTACAATTGGTGCTATATTCTTGAATTTGACAATAATCTCTCGACCCCCATTTTACATCATTAAGCGAACTAACACTGGTTGAAACTTTAGGCAAAATAACATTTAAGTTACATTGTATAAACAAAGGATGGTGATCGGACCAATATGTGTCATACAATACTTTCATATTTACAACCGTGCGCCTCGCTGCGCTTGTTACAACACAGTGATCGAGCCAACGGCGGCACCCGTGTGACTCACTTACAAACGTATAGGTATCGCGCGGCATGCATTCAACGTCTACAAGCGACCACGATCGCTCAGAACAAAAAGTTATTAGTTCGTTAGAAAACAGCTCACCTGGGTGCGCGTTGAAATCACCAAGAATAAATACCGATTCCACGTCACTACTTTCAATTATTGCGTTTAGTTCACTTAAACAATCCGTAAACTCCGCTAAATTTTCCATAGAACAAGTAGGCATGTAAATAGATATCACTATCATAGACCGGTCGTTGAGCACAAGCTTTATCGCCGCTAGGCGCACACTTCTACACGGTAACACTGACACAGAGGGAAAAACCGCTTTTCTCCAGAGTAAGGCGACACCACCGTAAGGTCTCCCTCTGAGTACGCCATCTGACGTATCGACAGCCGACTTCGAAGTAAACGAAAATTCGTCATCAATACCGCCAACGAATTGTATGTCATGTGGCAACAGCCAGGTCTCCTGAAGCGCAACTATATCGGCCTCCTTACATAGCTTTCTTACACATTCTACGGACCTGATGACACTCTTACAGTTGAACGTTACAATAAGAATAAAACTGGCGCGAAAAATATTAAAAAAAAAACATCTTTGAATCAGATTATAGGCGGCGGCTTTTTAAAATTTGAGCTCAATCGGTGCCAACCAACCAAGTTATCATTTCTATGTATATAGAAGATAAGTTTATTAATAAAGTATATGCCTTACTAAATCAATTATTCCATGGAGTTTGGTTGGAGCTGCGGATGGTTCTACGCAAAGCTGTACCCGGATCCCTCATATTTAAGGCGCAGCATTGCACACCGTTGTTGTAGCTGGTTCGATTCCGACACACCGCCACACCAAAAACTCCGGTGGTGTGAAGACCCGAGCGCGTTTCCACGCGTACAAAAAAAACACAAAGTCATAACTTAACTGTACTTTATTAAATAAGTATGCTTATAATATTGCGACAACGATTATATTTAAACGACTCTTACAAGTAAATAAAGATTTTGTTGATAGACATGTTTATGCGTATTTTAAGTTGACCGGGCTGAAGTGAGTTGCAAACGGTAGCATATCGTTGCAGAGAGACAGAGAAAGAATATACAGCTTTTATCAAAAAGTAGCCGGAGCCGATTGGAAGATGGAAGACAGAAGGAGCGGTCTATATTTAGCAATAGACTGCAGGCTGAAGGCCAATTCTCGTAATACCTAAAAGTTCGATCTCAATTCAGTTCCGATAAACTTTCGATCTCACAATTGTCATAAAATAAATTTTCGTAGTAAAGTAGGTGTCGAGAATCAAACCTAGATGCTCGACATCACGGTGGGCCGGTGCTTACAACCGGCTGAAGCGCTAGCGAACTGCGTGCGGCGCAGGTGACGGGGAGGCAACGAGAAGCGGGGTCGCGTGTGATGGTTTGTGACCACCGCACCCCATGGACAAATTCAACTTAAAAGACAAGTGCGTGGTCATCCTTTGAGTCCCTCCAATAATTTTTTAAGGTTAACTTCACTTCACTAATTAACTCAGTGAACAATGCCAATAAATAATTTTTCACCGGTTTTGTGTGTCTCTTCAAACGCTACTTTTATTAATTAAAATGATCATCACAAACATTATTAACATTTCAGTTCCACATCTCAGTACTCAAGACTTATTTTATTGTTTGATTATTATTATTTATTGTTATGCATAAAATGAGTATATAATCATCAAGTTTACACCCTACAGTTTCATCCGCGACATGGTTACTACTATACTTCTAAGGCTCACAGCATAACATTTATTATATCGTCTACTCTAAGCCTCGCAGCGTAAGAACTTTATTCTATCCCGTTCTAAGAAATATTCAAAAAAAAACTATTCAGTTTTGTAATATAATACATTCACATATATACTTTTTTAATATAATAAGATTATTAATCTTCTCCAGCCGGAACAGCATCTTCTAACCTCTTGATGTATTTGACTCGAAGTTCGGTAACAGCATCACCTTTTAGTTGGTCCTGGAATTATATATTACAATTAAGTCAAAAATAACATTAAGCTACAATTATATTTTAAACTTTTAATAGACACAAATATGGTGGCGCCATCTGTGTTTCTTACGAGGTACTAATACAAATATCAGTTGCGGTAGGGTTAATGCAAAGTCCTTCTAATTATTCAATTACTATTACTAGATGGCGCTGTAACAATAAAACCTTTAAAACTACATATTAGTAAGTACTGTTTTCTTACATTTCTTTGTACATGCTAGTATGCATGCATGTAAATTTCGACTTCAATTCACAAAATTTTAAACATTTCAATATCCTATTGTAATACTCCTGTAACATTTTGTGACAGTTTTAAAATATTCTTTAACAATTTATAATATAAATTGTTAAGGAGTTTTAGCTTTCTTTACATTTTCTCCATTTTACACAAATGACAACAAAATTGCTGTGCAGAATTAGCTTAAAAAAGTGTACAAAGAATCCTCTTTACATGTTAATATATAAAAGCACTAGCGGACCTGATAGAAGTTGTCTGATACACACAGCTTAAATCTAAAAAAAAAATTAACTATAAAACATTTTGTAGTGGATGGAATTGTGTGTCTAAACCATTTTCGAATCTACTTAAAGACACACAAAGAAAATTCAAAGAATTTCATAAAAATTGGTCCATTTCGGAGTTCAGTCACAAACACACACATGATAATACACTTATATTAAATATGTGTATATATTTCTACAATTTAATACACATGATAAATGTATTTAAAATCATAAATTACTCATTTCTAAAGACTCTTTACATACCTGCACAAACCAACACTGAACATCCAGCTGCACCATCTGTAGAGCTCCTCTAATAGCTCCAGGTATCAGAGCACAGTACTTAAGCCCATTGTTGGGCATCTCTACCCACTCACTAAGTGGGCACTGGTCCCAGACAAGAGAGAATTCATCACCAGCACTACTCCAGCTGGTCACTGTAGGTTGCATATTGAGATAAAGCCTGTAATGTAGAAAGACCAATATATCATGACTCTTCCGCCCCCCAATCAGCTTCTTCAAGCTAGTGCTGTGATGTGGCCACTCCTTCCCGCCACTGCTCACATACCACCACCGCTCTGCACCTATTTAGGTATACAGGACCTCACGGCAATGCCATGACTAATTTTATTTATTACACTATACCTGTAGTAGCTTGTATTTTAATATTAAATTGTACAAATTATGACCTCTCTATTTGTTTAATTTTTCTCCCTTAATTAACTTTTCTGGCCTACTATATGTCTAGAAAGTGGCCTTCCTTTACCCTAACTTACTGTATCCCTTTTTTCCATGTGAAAACAGTAATATAAAAAAAGAGACAGCACCAGGTGGGTGGTCAGCCATTAACTCTTCACATGCCACCCCTCTGATATGCTACTACACTGTAAATTGCAATTATGGATCAGGAATTATGTGGTTATAACAGTTCCGGGTGAACTATCTATATATACAAGATTATTTAGAGTGAAATTCAGATTTGGAATCATCCAGCTTTTTTTACTATCCATACATTGACAGTAACATCTGATTCTTATGTCACTTAAAATGGATAAAAATTAAATGATAATTATTATTTTGGTAAGGCAGTCTAGTTAATGGAAAATACCTGAATGCCTGCTGTATTTTATCAGCAGTTTCTCTCATTTCCAAGCACCTAGTAGATGTAGTACGTGCGAGGAAGTCCTCAATGAGACGTACGCCCATATTATAGCCTATTCTTTCCAATTGTTTATTAACATCCTCCGAATTTTCAGTCTCTTTTAGCATTTGAGATACTAGCGCTCCATATGTAAGTGTTAAAAGCTCGGAGTTCTAGAAAAAAAAAAGAAATGTAATATTAATTTAATATCAATCTTACGTGGACGTATTTTTTATAAACTGTATCTAACTTATTTACTTACGACTTTTTTTGCGTCAAGCCTGGATGTTTGTCTCGACATTTTAAAACTGGTTGATATTATACTTTAATCTACTTGAGTATATTTAGACAGTTTCATATATTTTCTAAACGTTAAAAAGGTAGGAAGATCAGTAAAACTCCCAATTTAAAAGCAGACTTGAAGTTTTTACTAATAGAACACAAAACCTGTAGGTACTTATATGTCAAATTTGTCAAACCAGGCCTACATCAGTGTTACCATGTTTTAATTTTAGATTTTGACCCTATAGATTTTGCGTGCTACGTGTTTTTCAGACTTATTTGCAGCATAGGCAATTCGATAGTAAATAACTGTTGTTACTACACCCCTTTGCCAGTATGAGTGCTGTATGGAGCACATTCATAATGACAACTTTAATATTTTGGTCCCATTCACGTAATAGGAAGCAAGCTGCGGTAACCCTATTGCTGACGTTTGGGCACTGTGGGAAACAAAGAAAGGAAATTATGAAAAGTGCTGAAAGAGAGCGTGAGATAAGAAAGGAATGTACCTAAGTAATTGTTCAAGCATGCTAGGAAGTATATAATTTACTACCATACTTCTGCAGTTTGGTCAGCTTGTGAATAGATGAAGAAAACTTTTACTACTTTAGATAAACAAGAACAGGATCCATAACTTGATTAACTGAATAATAGTATTAAATATCTAACGTTGTCTGTAATGCGATTATATCGTATTGTTACCACATATTAAATAAGTAATCTGCTAGTCTTTTTAATACTTTACTATTTTACTACGAAAATACCTTTGAGACCTTTGTTGTGAGATCGAAAAGTGATCGAAAAGTCTTCTGGTAATCAAGTTATGATCCTGTTCTTGTTCTTTTAAAGTAGTAAGAGTTTGATAAGTCTGGTAACACATTTCTACATTACAAACTTTTATAATCAAAAAGCCCTGATTTCATTATTGAAGTTAGTTTTTAAATAAAAACTAAATTTTTCCCATTGTTTTGTTTATTTATTGGGAAACGTCAAGCTAGCAAATATTTGAAAAATTAACTACACATATCAAAGCCGTTACACGGTAATCAATCAACATGTTCTAACATTTAGTTAGGCTAATTATGGACAACGATGAAGACAATAATATAGGCACTACGGGTACTTTTACAAACGAAATTGATTCTCCATGTGCTGTAAACTCATTAATTCTCGACTACTACAAAAAGTTTGGTAGGAAACGGGACTTGGAACAGTTTTTTTCGTTATCGACAGCACAAGGGGAAGTTAAGGATACGAGTGGTTTATTTTGGAGGAAGATGAAAAGTGAAAACGATTCCTCCGATTCTGGCGGCGGGAAGAGCGATTCGAATGCGCAGGAACTTTGTCGAATATCCATTCGATGTTCAATGCCTGAAGGTTCCAGCTCACAGGTCAGTGCTTTATTTCGTCATTTATGTAAAAAAACAATCACTATTTTAAAAGTTTAAAAGCTAAAAGTTTTGCAAAAACATCTAAAAGTATGAGCGTCCAGCTTGTATAATTTTTCATGGTACAGAAAGATTATATGTACTATGATAGTTCAAGTAACAATGGTCGATAAAACGAAATATTGAAATCTTGAGTTATTAATTTAACTTGAAACTTAACTAAACTTGTGTTTACCTACTAAGTTTAATATTTAGTTTAGTGTTGTGTTTTCTACATTATTGTGCAAATTTATTATGTACATTACTGTCCTAAAAAGGTAGCCTGCAAATCATATAGGTAAACTTATTAGTGCAAAAGTTGTGTGGTGGGTGTTCCCAGTGTGTCCCCAGCGACACAGAATATATTCCTAATGCGGGTGTTGATTTTTTAAAAGGAAAAAAAGAAAAGAAGTTAAATTAAAGCTATCCTGCTTTTCAAAAGTGATTTAAAACATTTCATAATTACTATGTCTTGAAATATACATGGTTACTGGTTAAGTCGACCTATATACTTTAAGAGTTTGTAGTTGCCATAAATTATTGGACTTTTAAGATTATTTATAAAAACTGCCGAAATATTTCCCAATACAATCCTTTTAAAACTTATATCCTTCAATTTTTTTACTGTTTTTCTATAGTTGATTTGATTTGATTTGTTTTGGAAATTATAAACACTGAGTTTATAATTTCCATTACCATATTTGTAGTAACCTTAAAAAACTGGGCCGACGTAGGTTTAAAATTTTACTACTAAAAAAATAATTGTAAACATTTTTTTATTTGATGAATATTTAAAAAAAAACTATGACAGTTAAGTTGCAGATTCTTTAAAAGACATGTTGTAAACATAGTGTCAGCTATCTAATAAGGTATAACAATCTAGGGTGATATAATATAATAATAATATTCTACCACATACACACAACGCCATCTAGTCCCAAACTAAGCAGAGCTTGTACTATGGGTACTAGACAACTGATATAAATACATATATACTTTTTTTTTTGTAAATACATACATATTATACATAGAAACACCCAGACCAAATCAAACATCAAATGGTCATGCACACAAATGTTTGATTTGAGCGGGAATCGAACCCGCGACTTTTGGAATAGCAGTCCGTTACACAAACCACTACGCCATCCAGTCGTCGCCGTATTTAACCGGGAGGTAAACCTTAAAAGTCCAATATGTTCAAAATGGTTAGGTTTTGCATATGGTATTTCATAGTGAAATCTATCAGAAATGATGGCTAATACAACCTCCTAAAGTATCTAGGTTGACTAAACCAGTGACCCTGTATATAATGGTTAATAAATCTGGTGTGACCTTGCTATAGTTACCACAGTCATAAACTGTTTTGCTTTCTTGTTGCAAAACTTCCATAAAACGGTTTTAATTTTTATTTTATTGCTGTTAATATACTTCATAGTTTGTTACATAATGAGTTTAGAGTTATTTTGAACTTTTTACACTTTGGGTCTTTGTTGTGAACTGTTTTCCAAAGAGTGGTTTTAAAATTACGTACATTTTACACAATTCTAAGTTGTGAGAAAATCAAAATATGAAGAAAACAAAAAATAATTTTTGAATCTAAGTGTGGGCCTTGATTGTGTAAGTTAACTATGTATTGGTGTAATGTTACTTAATTCATTGTGACTCCGTGCTTGCGTCCAAAGAGCACGCGGCGAACGACCGAGGTGTCTTTGAGCAAAACAAAACGGTGGCTCGGCCGCTCGTTCTCGTTTCGTTGCTTTCGGCAGAAGCAGTCCAAAGTAATCGTTTTCAGACAGGACAAAGATGGAAGGTAAATGAAAGACGACAGATTTAAAGTAAGAAATACAACACAACAGTAGAGCAAGTCACGGATACTGTACTGACGGACTGCTTCTGCCAAAAACAACATTGCAAAGGGTTTTGGCTCCCAAATTAAAGTGGGACAAAAAACAGGAAAATTATGATGATGATGATGATAATGAAAGATGTGTGTGAGTTCATAATAAGGAGTGCTATGAGAGTTTTGAGTTTACTTTGAAATGAAAAATAATTCTTTTCTTCTTTTTAGTCTGATGACCCAAACCCTAAAACAGAATCACCGCACACACAATCGCCTCCAATCATCACTGATGATGCACCGGTTGACATATCGAGACAGACTGATGATGAGTCTTTTAAGTCTGATGATAATCATTCACAGAAATGTAAGTATCTGAGATGCACTTTTTAATTTATTGCAATCCCTGCCATGCTTGATCTTTCAATCCACTGTTAAAAGATCAGGATCTATCTACCGCCATAATGCGACTGCACTGCGACTGAATGGCGTAGTGGTCGCCACACCGTTTACTACTTCTGTATGTTGTGGGTCCGATCCCCACATGAGACGACACTTTGTGTGATAAACAATGTGTCGTCTGAGTTTGGGTGTTCTGTTGTATGTTTGTGAAGTCCCCCGCGACACAGGATATATTCCTAATGCGGGAGTTGTCTATGAACAAAAAAATAATAATAATAATAATAATCAAATGCGCCTGCAAATAAAGAGAATATCATCATCATCATCATCATCAACAGTCTTTAATAGTCCACTCTTTCTCCTTAGAAATGAGGTTTTGGCCTACTAAAGAGAATATATACATTTATCTATACTAATATTATAAAGCTGAAGAGTTTGTTTGTTTGTTTGTTTGTTTGAACGCGCTAATCTCAGGGACTACTGGTCCGATTTGAAAAATTCTTTCAGTGTTAGATAGCCCATTTATCGAGGAAGGCTATATATCATCACGCTAAGACCAATAGGAGCGGAGCACCAATGAAGAATGTCTAAAAAACGGGGAAAATTTATTACTATTGAGAGACGCAGACGAAGTTGCGCGGGTCAGCTAGTATTATATATTTTATTTGCCAAACATTTACCAATTAGAGTCACATACTGAACGTTCTGGGTTTTAGAAAGTATGATATTACAGGAGCAAAAAATGACCTCTGTCAGTTCAACGATCTCTTATATAAACATAAATTGTGTTTGTTTCGTAAAATGAGTGTAAGGTCAATTACCTTAATATATTTATTTGTAAATAAAACCCTGTTAATAATTTGATGACATTTTCTACACGCATTTACGTCAGACGGTCTCTTTTACTTGAATTGCACTATTTCATTTTCAGCGTTCGATCCTTTATCAGATTTGTCAGCTCAGAAGCCCCTTTCACCTACAAGTAGTATTACATCCCAACGTAAATTGGAATGGGACTCTCTTGCTGACGTAGGCTACGCTAATGAAACTGATCGTAAAACATCAGCTTCAAGTCTAAGTACTTTAGAAAGACTCGCTTTAAAGCAACAATACTCAAACAATGACTCTAATCAAGACATTGGACAACCAACATATCATTCTACTCCTGTAGAAGAAAATGAAACTAAATCCAAAATGAAGAAAAGTGTTGCAAGAAAAATGACAAAAATAATCAAAAAGGATATTGATTGCGTTGAAGTTAACTTACCACATTCGAAAGACACAAATCCAAGCCAGTCTATTAATGTTAACCTCACTAAACATATTTCTTTTAACGTAGAGAAAGATGGAGGAATTTCATTTGATAATATTCGAAAAGATGTTAATGTTTCTCCAGAAAAAGCAACCATAAGCCATGACGAGACCTCACATTTGCCAATAGATAAAGAAATTCAGACGTCATTGCCAAAAACTAAAGATAAGTCATGCAGTTCTGTGGAAGAAATAAAACCCATTGATCCAAATAATCAAAAGATACCAATCATGATTAGTTTGAACACGTTACGAAAGCGATTAAGGATGAGAAAATCTAGAGCTGTCAAAAGAAGGACAAAAACCAAAAAGAAAATGTGTGTGACTAATGATATTAGACATCAGGAAAAAAGCGGAGAACAACTGTCCGAAGCTGAAAGCTTTGAATACATGCCAGGACACATTTATAACCAAAATAAAATGAAAATTAACGAGGGTAATGAACCAGAACGGGAACATAATAATGCTGTTGGCAATAAATCCAGCTTAGAATCCAGCTGTGGCCTTACAACTGATTCTAGTAAAGGATCCAAACATTCTCTTACCCAAGATTTGGAAAAGTGTATTAATGTGTTAAAAGTAACTTTACAAAAGCGTTATGATGACAGTGAAACAAAAAAGAAATTAATCAAAGAAATAGTGCAAAGATTGCTCAGCTCGAAATATAGAGATGATGATACTAGTACGGAATTTTTATCTGGACTTAGTTTTAATAGCAAGAAGTTGGATTTAAAGAGAAGTAATACTACAAGTACTTCTGATACAAGCAATACTGACGAAAGTAAAGAAAAAGGGCCCAGAAAGTCTATCTTACGAATGGAAAAATTCGATTCGAATGTAGTAGCTTCCACATCCCAAAGTGCCCCAAACTTATACATTGCAACAGATGCCGAAAAAAAACATACGAATCTAAAAAAAGTATCAACATCTTTCACGGAGTCTGATGCATCTAGTAAAGGTAAAACATCATCGGATAATGCTCTTCCCAAAACTTCATCTGAGCAATTTTACTTAAAGTATTTAGAAGCTTTAAGACGCGAAGAATCTTATAAAATGCATTTAAGAGACAAAGAAATGTTTCTCAAACAGAAGCTGGGTAATTCTGTCACTACGTTTAAGGCTCCGAACCCCCAGGAAGCAAAAGTTAATAATAGACTTAAAGATCTAATGAAGGACCTTACGAGAAACAATTATGACGATGGATCCGGGGATGCCAGTAAGTTAGAAGGTGGATCTACTTCTGATAGAAATTATGATATCTCTGTTAGAGGAGCTAAAAGCCAAAGAAGTCATTCAGTATTTACTTTATCTTCAAGCCATTCTGATTGCCCGAAAAAACCAAATTTGAAGAAAAAATTGCTAGTTGATAGAGAATTAGAAGCCAGTAGTAGTAAAAATCATTATTGCTGCTGTCCACATCATTTTGCAGATTCTAAAGTCACATATGCTGATAGTTCTGTGCAAGTGAATATCAAATATCAACAAATTAATGACGATAATGAAAAATTAAATCTGGACCCTTTAGCTAAATGCCCACGTTGTGAAAATTATAAATATTCTACTAGACATGATGACTGTTCCTGTTCTGATAAGCCTAAACTAAGTCCACGAGATATTGGTACAGGTTGTCCTAATTGTGGTAAACCTTTGAAGAATATAGTACATGATTATAATACTAATAAACCATATGAGAAATATCCTAGATCACCTAGAACCATTGCGAAAATGGTTCCTAATAAATTTTTTGATAAAAAAAATATTTGTGTTTGTAATGAAAGTCAAGTCCCAGTTTGTAGTACCGGTGATCACCCAATATATCAACGTTGTAAATCACCTAATCGTGGCATTCATTTTGGGCATTCTTCCAATGTGCTGAGTGAGGCCTCAGGCAAGTCTTCTGATTCAGACGGTATACAATTTGTTAGAGCACCTGTTAAAACAGAGCTTGCCACTGACAGTTCCAAGTCTGACAAAAGCTCTAAAGCAAGGAAATGTTCCCAGTCTTCTCAAACTGATATGCAAGTGAGAATAAACGAAAAGAGTTCTAGTTATAAGATCGTAAATTCCAGTTCGAAAAATCTGTGCTTAGAAATGAGAAAAAAACCTGTGATAATTCACGAAGCAACTAGATGTATTCAGACTGAAATCAGTATCAACCCCCAAATCGCCGATCCGACTTTATCGGCTATTGTTATTGTGAATAACTGCGCAGAATTGATTGAAGAACAACAGAGAGAAGTAAATTTGAGTATAACCAAAACTTCAGATCAAAGAACATTTAGTGATGTGTATACAAGTAGTGAATCAGGGAAATTTCTTTTGAAACCGGGGCACAGTTTATTCGATCCAGAAGTCAAATATTCTGATATGAACATCTCTGAATCTAAAGATTGCCTAATGGAACCACCTAAAAAGCCTCCTAATGATTACGCGATACCTATTGATGGTACGAACATGACTCTTGTAGTTAGTTTAGCTTCAAATGATATAAAAGGGAAAATTGACCAGATAGATCAAGGAGTAGGCACTGAAAAGTCTCCTATTGCTGACCAAGGCACCTGCATAGCCGCAGAGTGCGCGAAATCTGCGCAGTGTCAACCCAGTACTACTGCAAATAGTACAAGAAATACCTGCTGTTCTTCTGAACTCAGTAGTAAGAAAAGCACTAGGAGGCCTTCCTTGAAAAAATCTTCTTTATCAAAACCATCCCCGAAAAGTTCGCCGCAACGTAACACGTACCCAAAAGAAATACTTGTAAAAGATAAAAAACCGTTACGACGCTGTAATACTGATATTGACAAATTAGAAACTCAGTGTGGGGGCTCTCAAACAGAACCTTTTAACAATATTGGTCTTTCACTGTCTGAAAATGATAAAGCGAAAACCTCTGATCATTCTTGTCAAGTATCAGTCATTTCTTATGACAAAATTATGGTACGCAGCAGCTGTGAGAAAGAGGAGCATCTTGAGAGAAAAGAAATAGGCATCCAAAAAGACATATCAAAAAGTGAAATATTTGAAAGAAAAACTACTCCTGAAATGGTATCTAAATGTGTCGGCAGTGATATAGAAACAGTACAAACAAACGACAAAGCAGAAAACGAAGAAATTTTTGGAAACAAAAATTGTAAAAAAACATGCACGAATTGTGGAGGCGACAACGAGAGTGAATGTAAGTGTGAAAAGGTTCTAGAAAGTAACCTTGCGAAAACCAGATGCGTGAAGTGTGGAAATGATGATGGGTGCAGTTGTAATAATTCCACCAATAAGAATCTTAAAGAATCCGGGTGTGAAGTATGTTTACATGATGACGTACGTGGACGTACCTGCCATAGCGGAGAAACTCAAGTGCCTGGCTGTAGGAGTACCCAGCTGAGAGAGTGTGGATGTGATGATATTAGTGACTGTAAACATAGAACTTCTCAAGGAAATAGTCTGGGGAAAACGAAGTGTACTGTCTGTGCGGGTGATAATTGCAATTGTAATGACAAAGAAATACCACAAACAGATGTTTCGCTTAACAAACCTTGTGTAAAATGCGGCTGCTTAGATTCATGCCAATGTGATTCAGATAGCAATGGTGTAAAAGATCCCATTATGGACATAATAAAAGACATAACAAAACGTTATTGTAAAAATGACATGAAGAAGATTAAGAAGAAAAAATGCTTTACAGAGATAATAACTGTTCTTAATTATTTACTAGAAACTGATGAGAGTACTGACCAAGAACCATGGCGTGTTAGCACTACTCCCGAGTTCAGTGACAACTGTGACAAAAACTCACTAATAACCAAATCACCAACACCAGATAAGAGGCACACTAAAACGATTTCACAGTCATATAAAGGACTGTTTGATAAAAATGCCAATGAACGTTTCTGTCAATCATCAAAAACGTTACCTACACCTGATAATATTGCAAAAAAAACAATGCCAGGAAAGTCTTCAAGGTGTTGTGATAATACAAAAGAACCTATAAGATCGTCAGAAAGTAAATGTCCGTGCAAGCATGGAAATGGCGGTCAACTGACTTCAAAGTGTACCAGTAAAGATTGTTTTGAGTCTTCAGATATGCCCTGTTCTACAGAATTACCATCTACTTCAGATTCCACTGCTTGCAAAATTTTAAAGAAAATAAAGAGGGAATGCGAGAAATACCATTTAAGACGTACTAAGTGTGGACGAAAGTGTAAAATTTCTAGTAGTACTTCTATTATCTGTGACCAGTGTAAGAAGACCCATTATTGCGGTTGCAGACACAAATGCAAAAGATCTAAAACTTTTGACAAGGTACAAAAAAAATGTGTTGCTTACAATTTAATTTTGCAAACATCAGAAAGCATGTTGAGTGAAAATACTATTGGCGATAAGTGCCCACCTCTTAAGAACGTTGTTGTTAAAGTGCCGAAATGTAAAGATAAGTTTCGCATGGAGATGTGTAAAGAGACTATCCATAAAGCCGAGAAAGACAAGGGTAGATATCACTATAGTCCTCGTGGTCAAAGGTCAAAGAGTTGTCCCAAAGAGAGCGAGCCGTCAAGTACCGATGATTTTATTCGGCGAACTCACCACTACACTGTTAGAGAATATTTGGAGAAGAACAGGCCTGATTTTGTGGAGAAGTGCGCTAAAAGACAAACGTGTTTGAAATACGTCAATGAAATCAGGTGAGTGGTTAAATTATTTTACGTTTAAAAGCATTGTTGACGATGTTGTGTGTTTTACAGACAAATGAAGGCCGCGTCGGGAGAGGCTATGCTTCTTTTCTTAAATACATAATCCTTGAACGAACTCATCGTGAACGATAAGCAGCCCATTCCTTTCTTCTATTTGGCTGCAATAATTTTAAAATCATTGTAAATGATGCAGATTTTTTCGCTTTTACAACGTTATTGTTTTTAGTAAAACATAGAGCTCACCTTTCTCGCTACAGACCTCAAGACTCTGCTTCACCACATCTGAATATGATTGTTGTACACCAACCAAGTTGCTCGGGGTCTTTGGCAAATAATCCATGTAGGTATCTTTAAAATTTTCGTATTCAACATTATTACGATAGTAGATAGTTCTGTCCAACCTTGCAGAGTCGAGTTAGACTAAATCATAATCATCTTAGATTCTATCTGTTGTCATCTCAATATTCATACCCAAAGCAGTAAAATAGGACAGTAGACTACTTTAAGACATCAGAACGATAGATTCTGTAGAAACTTATATCGAATAGGAACTTGTGACGTCATCATACCTTGCTATTTAAATCATTAACATTACATATGATTACACCATGGCTTTAGTACGTTTTATTGTACCTGGTTACAAACCGAAGCAACCTTTCTAAATCAGTATGTTTATAGGTGTACCCTTATGCTACAATCCTTGTGACGTGGCTTCATGTAATCCAGATCATTGTACCCAATGTGATTCTTATAATCTTCATACAATAAAAGAAGTGATGAGAATTGGTGAGTTCTATGTCTTGTTAGTTAAATTGTATGCACGCGATTATCAAGAAGCTAATTCACGGCTAGTATTGGACAGTAAGCGATTACCGGTATCTATGATTTGCGACAGCAAAAGTTTGTTTGACCGTCGCATCATAAAACTCGAATTATATTCGCGTAATTTTCAGTTCTAATTCGCGCGCATAGTCAGCGATATTCGAACAACAAAAAAAAATATATTTTTGTTTTGAGATGGGTAAAAACCGTTGAACTCGCGACGCTGTTATTGTTACGGACACCTCTGTATATATTGAAGTGAAAACTTCTTTAGGCGCATTGGGCATTTTTGAACAACGAACGAAATAATGTATTTTTTTTGAGATGGACATAAGCCATTGAACGTCGACAGTTACCGTTGCCGACACCTCTGTTTATAAGTTTTCACTTCTGTCCTCACTCCCGGAGTGCCACTGTTTTTTTTTCTGTTTACTTTATATTTCTCAATTTCTTTAATGTATAAATAATGTTACTTATAATAACGGCTAGTCGGCCAAAGTCATGGTCGGCACATCTTTAAATAATTATGTATTATTTACACATATTATTATTAAATTAAACGTCTTAGCGCACTTAGCACTTCGATCATTTAATATTATTCCTTTTTTGTCCTGCTAACGCCGCCTCTTTTTACTTTTACCGATTTCCTTACTTTCTAAAAGTATATTGTGGATACAATAATGAAATTTTGCATTTTTCTTTTATATACTGCCTCGGTGGTGCAGTGATGCGTATGCGACTGCTGTGTTTAGGTCTCGGGTTCAATGTACAGGTCGGACCAAACGACCAAAAAAAAGTCAATCTAACTTTTATGGTACAAGCTCTGCCTTGGTTTGAAACTAGATGGCGTTGTGTGTCAGTTGTCCGAAATATTTATATTCATTTACTATGGTATTGGTGTTTAGAAAGTCTAAGCATTATTTTTAACATTACAGAGCAACCGAACGGGCAGCCAGCCGTGACCTGCTGTCGATGTACTTGCACAGGGAACCGGACCTGACGACCCTCAGTTCTGAACAGCTTCGAGAACTTGCACAACAGATTGGTTTTGATATTAGACGAAAGAAAAGTAAGTATGGACTTACAATTATAAAAATTATGGCCAGCGAAGTAGAACTAAATGAAAAATAATTGAAACGTGACTTCACGTAATATCAAGTTCATTCGATGTTCGACGACATCACTAGATGGCAGTGTAAAAAGCGTTAAGAGTGTGTGTTAAGAGTCTCATTGTCAATTCAATTCATCGTTTGATTTCCAGGGCTATCTTTCCAATATAGTTCAGATAATATATTTTATAATCTATTATAAGTGTTTCATATAGCATTTTGTATTTATGTAGCAAAATATCCCGACCTCGTGCCCTAAACAGTCGTTTTGAATAACGGTTAAGTGTTTATTACATTGAAAAATTGGTTTTCAATAAAAAGGTGCGCTTTCTGTGCCAAGTAAAATTAAGGGTATGTCCTAATTGTTTGTATGTTAACGAAGTCATTTAGAATATGTATGTTTGTTTTGCCTTTCAGCGGCACCAAAATTCATTAGTGAGCATGAAATGAAGAAGCACTCGAAAAACATTTACAAAACATTGCCAGAAGTTGTTCAGAAGAAAGAGGAAAAGAAAAAAGAAAATATCAAGAAGACCAATTTGTTGATGGCTAATATCTTTAAAAAGGTAAGTTTTTTAATTATGTTTATTTTCCGTCCAAAGTATGGGAACTCTTAAAGTCGAAATTTAAAAGATAGATTTCTATGTGAATAAAATTATTTATTACATTTTTACCAGCCAAAACCCAATTCAATGTTACATATCCCAAATAAAATGGGGGTAAGGGCTGATAAATGTTGAGGATGACGATCAATGTATATTGTGTACTTATATTGAGAATTCTAGAGAATTGTCGAGTTATGGAACGGTGACGGATTTAGAATACAGTGTCACCACCACTATTCATCCCGTTTGTCGACACCTTTTCGGTCTTACGACTCTTACGACTAAGAGTAACCTTTAGCTGATATTGAATATTCTTATTTGTCTGGAACGGACTATCGAATACTAGGGATTCTATATTATTCTAGTAAATTCGATAGCGCTATAAAATCGGAGCGTGTTGGCCGTAGTGAGTGTTAGTAAATACAGTGTAATAAAATTAATTAACCGACAACTTTTATTTATTGTATATCCCGCTCGTAACACACATAAATCTGTAAAACTGTAATCGATTAGTATTTACCAGATTTTTTTAATCGATTTCTTTGATCCCATCGCTATACTTCAATCTGCCAAACGGTATCTCTTAGATTAGATGGACTATTATAGGTGATTATGAAAACGGTGATGGTGAATGAATTA